ACCCGGGCAATTCATTGGTTTAAGAGCAAACTGAGGAGAGTTTGCTGAATCGCTGTTAGCCGCACAGCCCTTTAGACTTTGATCCTTCTCGAGTAAAAACATATCGTCCTAACAGGCGGGAGGTATTAACGAGACCCACACTAGCAGATAACGCTAAACAATACGGCATAGTGCTTCATGTGACCAGACTGCACCCAGAGCTCCGTATTGAATACATTCGGCGTAATAACTTCTTTAAACCCACGAAGACGATACTGCGACTATAAAAAATGAACACAGAGAAGCGTGAACTCCAACGGAGAAGCCACTATAATAATATCTAAAAACCTTCATATGGTTAATTAATTTATTAAAGATGTGAGCGCCGTATGGTAGAAAAAAGGCGGCCCCAGGGCTCCAGGGATGGAAAAAAAAAAGTTCCTGGTCCTGCACAACAACAAAAATGGAAAAAAAAACAGAAAAGTAAAAGCAATTAAGACTTTGCCAATTCTATGGTGGTCTGCACGAGCAGCCATCTCCTGGCGGGCCTTCCATTCCTTTAAAAGTTTTGTGTCTGGAAAGGCAACGCCATAAACACGCTGAAGTGACTCCGCCATGCGATCGCCGCCTTACCAATACCAGTTAATAATTGTTTTAAAAAACAAATTAGAAACCACCGAAAAATACGGCGGAGGTTTTATTAACGAGAAAGGCCTTAATTTCCTTCGTCGACCGAAGGTGAGGACCACGGCAAAGATCAATAAGTGATCCACAGCGATACACAGTGGTAGTAGGTGTCTCGATTTTATTTAAGAAGTGCTAAAAGTTTTAAAGAAATAGGTAGAATAAGGGCGCAAAATATGAAGTTTCAAACCACTAAGCAAGTAAAAAATTGTAAAAATTACGGATATAGAGTACAAGTAAACCGTACATTGCATTCGAATTTTATAATTAAGTGCAACAAACCTGCTTATATTTATTATACTTAAACATTTCGCGTAAAACATCGATTTCCAGTTCGAGACGTTCAAATTTCTGATCTTCAGCAGTAATACGCAAGCTCACATCTTCCAAAGTAGACAGATCGCTCATATGTATTGTACGCCCGTTAATATCTATGTCGTAAAAAAATCCTCGAAAAAAAAGTATATATAAAAACGTGACGGTCAAGTTTAGTTATACAACAAAACACCTTCTTCCAAAGGAGGGCCGTGACAAAGACAACCGCCGGTGCAGCGTTCTAAAGCCTCACCTAAAACGTGAGCTGACGAATGAAAAAATACTTGCTTTGCCTGACAAGTTCATAAAGGTTATAAAATAATTAATCAAACTTACTAATTAAGTGTAGCTTAAATATGATTAAAGAATAATATTAAAAAAGAAACTTAAAGTCACTTAAGAAGCTATACCACAAGAAGAGTTGTGATTCTATTAAAAGTTATTTTGGAAACAAAGCAAAACTATAACTATCTAAAAAATCTAAACTAAATAACTACTTTTTCATCCTCCCAAGTTAAAAGTTTAATTTTGCAGCTCCCCTCTAAAGGACGACATAAATCCCAAAGTTCTCCATTAACTTCGGCCACTAAGCATTTAGCCGTTAAGCTATAAGAAAAATAAAATATAGATAAAGTTTTCATTCAAGAGGCCTTATTACTATTAATAGTATTATTGTAAACCTTTTACTAATTGAGATCGCTATATCTTGCGGCGTTGTCTTCCATGAGTAGCCAGTAATATTTTTACCATCCGGCAAAGTAACAGTAATTTCTAACTTTTCTCTTTCTTGTATAATAAAACTAGAAATTTTAAAACCAAAAAAAGTAGGGTAAAAACCTTCTAAATCCCTTTTGTATTTATCCATAAAAATATTAAATAATTGAATCCTGTCTTTAATAAAATTTGGTAAAGAATAAAGCTCAGCCGAGAAGGTCATTACATAAAATTATAATCAACAAAACTTAATACAACTTTTGGTACAAACAGCGAATATTAAAGAACTGATAAACGATTGTGTGGAAGCACGTGCTAGATTTTATGCGAGTGAAGAAGAGTCATGCATTAAAAAATTCATTTTGACTGTAAGAATACCTATGGAGTTTTTCAGTGCGAGAAAAGAAGAGACAGTATACACATGTTATTAAAAAACTTTAAAATTCTCATTTTTAATGTTTTTCACTTTGATATGAATAGTTGTAATAGAAATAATTAATTTTTTTTTAACAGTTCGCCACCAACGTTACCTTTTTTTAATGTATATACCCCAGCTCAACGCCCAATGGTACCTTTACACAAAAGTTATTTCAGGACAAGAAAGCCTTTCGTCCAGTAATGGACGAAAGTGGTTATCCTAAACGCAATGTTAAACCATTATAGGAGCCCAAATATAAAAATATAAAAATATATTAATAAGGCTTCCTGACTTGTTTAGAGCTGGTAGCCAGGGCGGCCATATTTGGTGGTCTGATACACTCCTGATAACAAACCTGGCGGGCAATTAAGCCCTAGCCCTCTTGAAGGTAGGGAATGCTTGGTGAATATAACAGGTTGCACACGTAAATCGCAGCTCAGCGGTAATTACTGGCGCGTATACTTTCAGCAAAATTGTTTTATAAGATATGTCGTGGAAATCCTATTTAATTCGGGAAAAATTAAAAAAAAACCATAGGAACCGTTTACCGAATAATATAGCTCAGGTACCTAAACAGCTAGAAAAATTGACAAGCTGCACACAAGAAAGTTATTTTTTTAAAATAGTGGATGTATTATTAAAAAATATTATTTAAAAAGCTTATAAATATTTGTTTCTTAATACTTTAATACTTTAATACTTTCTCTCAATAATAAGTACAGTTTTTTGAAAGTAAAATTTGTGAGAAAAATGCACTGAGTCTGGGTGGTGATTGATAGCGCTGGGCACTCCGCATTAGTGAGGTCATGATAACAGCTATAGTTATTACATGCCGAGCTTTGGGCATCCTCTATGTAGTAATGACCAAACTGCTTGATTCAGAACTATCGGGTGGGACCCTTACTTTTATTGCTTTACTTACTTTTTATTATAGTAATATTTAGAAAGTATTGTTTTTGGAAGGGAACTATACAGACTTACAATTTCGACCCATCTGACAAATCGACCTTTTATAATTCATTCTGGTGAAGACGGCTATACAGTAATACTTAGTAGAAACACTTTGCATATTCTTGTAAATTATATATTGCCCATCTACTTTGCCGTTGAAAGTGTACTTTTTGCAGTTAAATTTAAACGTAGTATTAATATTATAAGAACCCTTTATTATTTTTTCTTTACTATTTTTGTACTATAAAAAATATTTTACGTTAAAAAATTACGGCATCTAAATATAAATATTTTTAATATTTAAAAGGAACCGGAATTCTCTTTTAATAGAAAAAGCGTTTACTTATCGTACAGCGTTAATACAATTAGTGTTCCTTCCCGTTTTCGCTATGAAAAACAGCCTGAAAGACTTAATAGTTGTAAATCTTTTTGTTTTTTTGAAAAAAGCTTATATATTTACGCCACAATTATAAGTTGTAATGAATTTCTTTAAAATTTAAAAAATAGTCTATTCTCTTTGTTTTTCTTTTTATTTCTTTTGTTTTAAGGTTTACGAATTTTAGGCTCATAATTTAGGTATGAATGAAACTTTTGAGTCCACACACTTCGACACGTCTTTGCTTGCACCCGTTTTTCGCCCCAGCTGGGCTGGGCTGCGGTGGGGAGTAGACAAAGGAAACGCTTTTATAGATGCCAAGTGGTCTCCTCCCTTTTGTGGCCCCTACGGAAGGTTTAAATCTTCCTCGTTCTTATAACTTAATTAATTATAGTTTGTCAAGCTTAAGATGTTTATTTTTAATTCTTTTTACAGTTGCTTGCTTGCCGTTTTACTAGAAGACTATGAAGTTTCTATTTACTTACGCGATGCTTCCTCAAGGACGTGCTGGAGTAACGTACCTACTTATAATTTGTATTTTGGTTTTGCTTTGTTGGAATTTTATATATCTAAAAGAGCTAAACTTTACTTTTTATTATTGCACTAATTTTGCGCAGTTTTTGAATGTTTCCTCACTTTTACGGACAGAAACACAGTCCTTTGCTAGGTATTTTATTTCTTATTTTCTAGCGTTTACTAGTAGTTATACACTTTTCTTGATGACTTTTTACAACTAAACTTCTATAATAGAGGAGCAGGCGAATCTATTACTTCATGTCAAGAGGTGTCCCCTCCTTTTCGGAGTCACGTGACTCTAAGAATTTCTTTGTAGGAGGAACTGCGTACATTCGTCCAACTACGTCACACATGCTGTCCATGTGCCCTCGCTTGGTCCCCGGTTTTACCACGCGCCGAGGTGTATCTGGTCACTTGGATATCATTATTTTCTTAACAAAGAACAGATGGCAGCCAATGATAGAGAGGGCCGATTTGCACTATTGACGTTGGGCGCTCTTTCTGGAGAAGTACTTGTGTTTTGTCTTTTTATGCTCTTTGTTAATTAGAGTTATTTATTGAAAAGGTAACATTTTGGCGCTTCGTTGTTCCTTATATAGAGTAAGTTTGTGTATAGAACTTTTCTTTTATGCCCTCAATGTGCCTTCTAAGTCGTAAGAGCTGTCCACTGGTTTTTCGGCATAAAGCTCGCAGCGAGCGGGTCACTGCCTTGGCTTGGCTACCGAGTACTTCTGGTAGGCTTGTTAGAAGCAGCAGTCACTTCGGTGCGACCAATACTTTCGTCGGTACAGAATCGCTAATGGCTGTGGGCTACGTGGACGGCGCTGTAGAGCTCTGGTACTTGCGGGCCTCCGAAGATTCGGAGTTTGTTGTTGAAAGACTTATGTTACACGACGCTGATCGAAGGCACCCGATTCATTTTGAATGGCGGATCTCGGAAGTTTTTAATATATATACTAGTCGTTTCCTCTCATGAACTGCTTTTACCCACTTCTTAAGGCTCTTGAATGGCAGATCGCCGTCTCTAAGGGACTTGATCTCTACGTACATATACGAGGGAAAACCTTTCATGTGGCTCGGAAGAGCATGTATATAAGCGGTGGGTTTATCGCTTTCGTGCCTTTCTGGACGATTGTAGATTAAAACTGCTTCCTTTAGGGATGAAATGGCTCTCCAACGACGAGCTTCTGGTGTCCTCGCTTGATGAAAGTCTTGTGCTTTATTGTTTCCAGCCTTCAGATGAAAAGGTTTTCCTCATTGTTATTATATCGGAAAAAGAGAAAAACATTTATTCGAAACTGATAACAATCTTAATATGCTCGTTTAGTTTTTAAAGAAAATCGTTGTTTTGCCTGAGAAGACTACAACTGTACTAGAAAGAAGACTTTCAGAAAGAGGCAATACTTTTCGTTTTCGTGATTGCAGTGTAACGCAAACATTCGATTCTTCAGGGATATTCGGCCTGGAAGTGAGCCCTAACAGGGCTTTTGTTACTCTGACCATGAGGTCGTGTGGTTCTACAGAAGACAGACCCCCGCTCTGTCACGTGGTGTTTGTGCCACAGGACTCAGAAGCTTTTTAAATGGTGGACAGTCGTTCGTACGTTTGCGCTGTCTTCCAGCATAGTTGTTATTGAGAATATTAAGTCTACGCTGACTGAGCTGCAGAGTGACAGTAACTCTTCTCTGCTTTTTTGTTATATTTACTTCTACGATCGTGCTTATCTGCTAGCAAGTGCCTATCTGGACACCCTATGGGACTCCTTGGAGTCTTTGAGATGCTCAGCAAGCATGCACGCCACCGACTATATAGAAGTCGATGAGGTGCGCAATACTTCCCAGCCCCCAGTATTGGGAAAGCAAGAATATATGACTGCCATCAACGCCGCGATTGCTGTTTTTAAAGAGCGTGCCCGCGCATCTTCGAGGTTTTAATTCAGTTGTTTAACGTTCTTTTATTTTAAAAGAAACCGTTTCTGGGTCTGCAGGGGACTTTTTCTTTTGTATACTAAGTTAGAGCTGTTGTTCTCAATGCTCATAAAGGTTTTTATTTTATATATATTGAAGAAGTCACCAATGTGACTTACAACTTCATAATAAACAGTGCAAACTTTGTGCAGAAACAGATGCTGTTCGCTTCCGCATTGATGAGCTTGAAAAGTTTCTTTTGCATAATCAGTTGTACACGAACCTGCAGTCTCTTCATACACATTTCGGAAGCGTACAGACTATCAATGGTAATTAAATAATACCAGGACGATCCTTGTAATAGTGTATTACTTATTACTTATACGCTAGAAAACGACGAGTCCTATTTTTCTTTACTTGTGGCGATACATATAAGTTTTTTCTCGACGACTAACGATGAGCTAGGCCGTCGCACGCATTCCGCAGGCATTGCTCGTTACTGCCACTTCGGCTATTCTAAACCTCATACAAGTGCTTTAGTTCTTGCGGGGGCTCAAAGGCTGCAGGCTGACTTGCGTAGTGGTGCTACATACGCCCCTCTACTGAAGATATTAAAGTCCTGGTAAAAGCTACAAGTTTGCGTTTGATGAAAATTATCTAATTCTGGTGATATCTTAATAGGCCGCTAAGCCTTCTAGATAAGGAAAAGGCAATGGCTCTTATTGGACCGCAAACTAAAGAGACTTGCGCGATTTGCCACTCGGAAATACCGCTGTCGTCTCTTTACTGTGAAATCTGTCCTTCTGGTCACGTGTGGGGTAATGAAGTAAGTATTTTTTGGATTGAAATTTTCTAAGGATGCCTATTTTTAGAAAGATGCAGCGTCAGTTTTATAATTGCCAGCAGTTTCCAACCACTACGTTGCACCCGATGCTTGAAAAGAAAAGTTAATGCAGAGTTTAAAACTCCCGGGTAACGCTATGGGATATTTATTTATTATAGCCGTCAAGCGCTATTATACTGTAGAACAAGAAGTTTGCAGGAAATATTGAACAGCACACCGTTCTGCACTTTATGCGGAGGAAAATACCAACCGGCCACCGAATTTACTCCTTTCGACGCAGAAAATTTGTTAAAGGGGAATTAAATAAAGTAAGGCGGCCTCTGAACGTTCACCCCATATTCACTAAGGGCGGACTGCAGATCTTCTAAAGTTAAAACACACTTTTTTTTGTTCTAAAAATAAAAAAAAAGCACATCTTGTCCTATCTCTATACGCTCAGTTTAAGTGTCGCACAACCTTCTTCGACTTTGGCTGTCCGGCCGCTCGAAGTTTGTAGTAGCCAAGAGCATCATCCACAACCTCAGTTATAAATTTTTGAGCCGCCAAAGAAACCATTCGAACGCTAAACAGCACAAGTGATTAAACTAAGCTCTTGGGACGTAAAAATATTTTGTAACGTTTACACTTTTGTGTCGGGACAGTTAAACCCAGCCCGTTTTAGGTAATAACTCGTCACCGCATCGGGAATCTTAATTTTAAATAGAATAAAAAACCTTTTTATATAATAAAAAGAACTTAAATCTCTACCACAGGAGAGTAATTGGCAAGGCGAGACAAAAAATCCATAAGCTCTTCACGATCACACTCTCCTATATTCTAAAGCTCCTGCGTAATATAAACGGCTTCGCACAAAAGTAGTAAAGGCGCACCTCTTTTGTTGTAAATGAGGACGAAAAGTTATCGTTATCTTGCTGCAAGCCTTGCTCGTGAGTACCAACAGCAATAGTTTCGTCTGGATCTTCAGGGCCTGTTCCTAACTATTATCACATTTTTTAAATTGATGAATGCATAAATATATAATAAATATCTATTGTAAAAGCACGTTGAGCCTAATAGAAAATGCTCACTTAGAAATTTTTGTCTTACATGCATACAAAAAATCAAATGATTAAAAATTTTTAACCTTTCTTTTTAACTAATATTTTTTTAAAAATTAGGTGTACACCATTAACCTCGTTTACTGATTGTTTTGACAAGTTAACAGAAGTCTCTGATTTCATCCTCTTGACCTCAGACATCACTTAACTTTATGTTAAATAAAAAAAAGAAACACCTACAGTAATGGTTTTAATTTTCTATTATTTAGAAATAATAGTTTCTGGTGCTCGATCGAGTCAAAAACTTCGAATACTCGAGCTCTCAATCAGGAGTCCGCAGAGATATATTACAAAGTAGCTTTCAATAGAAAAGGTGTCTTTATTAACTTGACCATCAACAAACAAAAAACTAGCGCTGACTTGCGTCAAGTGGGTAGCGATAACGTGCCCCATCCCATCTTTCGTAAATAAGTTTACTCACAGCAGGCGATTAGTGTGTCTGGCTAGCCTGCCATAATGGGCATGGGCACTACGTTGGAAGACGACATCTAAAGGGTCCAGCTTCAGGCCCCGGTGAAGAGGTTCAATTCGTACAAACCACCTCGCACTTGAATTGCAGAAGCTATTGCAGTGGAGTCATAGGCCCAGTCAGCAAAGGCGTATGTTATTATAGGCTGGATGCAAGACATTAAACTGCCTTTGTTTCGCAGAGAAAGCTTGCTCTTGACGCATAGTAAGTAAAGGGTAAAGCGCCTTAGTTGCTGCCTTGACCTTCGCAACTAGGTTGTCCACATGCGGCTGCCAGAAAAGTATGTTGTCAATGATGACTCCCGTAGTTCTCTTGAGAACGCCACGGTATCTTCACGCCATCAAAGGGCAAGGACGCGTTTTTTCTTAGTAATTAATAGCGCTTTGCTCTCTATCGCATCTCTAGAAACTTTCCAATTACGGCACCAGTCAGCAAGGGCGTCAAGATAAGGCTATAGATCCTTGCATAGCGAGGTGGGAGACTTCGACGGCGAGTAAATGGCCGTATCATCGCCGTAGAGGGCAATTCACGTTTGTTGATATGATGGCAAGGGCATATGACTCATAAATTTCAAATAAAAGGGGCCAAAGAAGGGTTTCCTGCTGTCGCAAACCATATACGAATGAGAAACAGTTATGCACTCTCAGACCCACTTTTATTGTAAGGAAACAACTGGTGCAATAGACTAAAAGCTACTCAAACCTAATAATAATATGTAATTAAGAATACTCCCGAAAATTTCATAAATTTTATGTATAAAAGCGATACAAACCTAAAATAAAGTCAACCCCTATTCTTTGTTTCATTCTAGTACATTAAGGGAGGAAGTAGAAAAAATTACTGCTTTGAATATCTACTACCAAACTTAAATAGTAATTAATTTCAATGATAAAAATACAGATATTTCTTAACTAGTATATGCATTTAGAGATAACTTAAAGTAGTATAAAATTTACAAGAAATTCAAAGTATACATATAAGAGAAGATATTTAAATATATTTAGCCAGATACAGAGTCTCAGGTTAAACCTTCAACATTGCTTAAATGGGTTAAGGCTTCAAAAAAACACCATGCCCTTAAAATGAATATCAGCCCTTTTTAGAACAGGCGGAGGTCAATCTGCGACTATTCTAACGGATTAATTACTCTTAAAAGGTATCGGACTCAATACCTTAACCCTTTAATGATCATAACTGAAGCTTGAAATAGATTTGTTTTACGTTCACTAATAACTAAATTTACCCATTTTTTTATGTTTTGTGGGTTGCTGCCTAATTCGTTAGAACATGGTACTTAAACTTACCAGAGATTGTTTCATAGACCGAGCCTGTCATTCAGGGTCAACTCCTACGGACCTACTCTTGCAAATTAAACATAGGAGACAAGTCGTAAACATATTAACTAGTAACCTACAAGGGGTTACTAAACGATTTTCAACTCCCATAAGTAGCGTCCACTTTTTGGCGTGGTGGGAAATCTAACACTAGAACTGTCCTTTTTCATGTAAGAAATACGGCCTTCAAAATCCTTATTATATGTTCCGAATGATAGTAAACGTCAGCTTTTAGTATTTTATAAACTGACCCCACTAATATAATAAAGTTTCTAACAAAAAAGATTTGAAGGTCTAAATCGGGTTTTCTAGTACTTTTGAATCTAATTGTAAAAGTAGAAGTGTACTGGCTGGCAGCCTCTCTCCTTTTATAGGTCTAAGATTTTATGGCCTTGAAGGATAAACCATACCTATCTGTGCTGGCAGAAAGATATTAAGTCTTCACCTATAGGCTAATCGTCATTTTAACTTTAATATATGGTCTTATAACTCAGTTTTACTCATTTTTCTTTTATATTTCCTTCTCTAGTCGTGGGCTTACTCTAATTATATACGTGATAATATTCTGGTTTTGTTTAATAAATATTATTACTTGACGCTATTTTTAATTAGGTTCGCACTTTTTATCTTTATAAAACTTTGTAATCTTTGCTGGGGTTGGGACATTAGTTCTCTGGGGTAGCATTACGCCATCTTGCTGACTTTAAAGTTGTGTCAATCCCTCTTAATTACCTTTAAAATAAGAAAAATAATTGTTGTGTGTACCAGTGCCAAGTGATAAAGCTACATTTTATAAATGTCTTTCTAGAGAAAAAGAAATCAAAGGTTTTTTTTTCACTCTTGTTATGGTAGACGTAAATTGACATTTTATATCAGGGCCATTCATAATTTTAGCAACTAATCCTTCTAGTTTACTTCAGCTAGTTAAACTAATTAAAAAAAGCAGCGTTGTAAGTGTACTTACAATATATTGATAACGGTCTTCTAGGTAAGATTTTACAGGACCTCTGAACGTTTTTTACCATGGTTTAAGAAGCTCTCTTTTCAGGAGCAGGCAGTCATTTTTAAAGTAATAAGCGTAATAAGCCCTTATAGAAGTCAACGGTGTAAATTCGGTTCTATTTTTGCTTTGTAACATTTTCATGGAAACTGTTCGTAAACCATGCTTTCCTTCTACTATAGATTTAGAAATGTTGATATCTCATAGGTTAATAATAATATATAATATAGAAATGGGACATTTTAAATTGTATTTTAGGCCTTTTGCTTAGTAAAATTTGCATAATTATTACAAAGAAATTTTCTTAGTGATGGTATTATCAATATTGCTTAGTATAAAGCCAAATTACTTGATTATTGTACGGTTACAAGCCTAGAATTATATCAGGTTGTTTACTTATATTAATTAATTTATTAACTCTTTGAATGCCACAGCCCAGATGTCACATTTTACTGGAGTCAAGTGACAATGTTTAGGAGTCCTTACCGTTGAGAAGCATTGGACTCAATGGGTATTTTTTCTTTTCTTCCAGTTTGTAAGAGTACCTTTCCACCAATTAAAACAAGGTAAAGTATATTACAGAGATTATTTATTTGTAATAACCCAATAAGAGGTAACAATTAAAATGGCTTATAAAGAGAGTATGCCACTGACAAAGAAATATTTGAAGAGTACGCTGACATCCAGTAACGGATTTCCTAAGTTAAACTTTGTAAATATAACTATAAGGCTACGTTTCAAACCGAGGCATCAGTCCTTTGGTGTTGGTGCAAGCTAATTCAATAAAATCGTTATCTTGCATTCTCTTTGGTGTTTCGTTAGAGATGCTATAGTTAATCACTAAAAACTTCGCGTACTGGAGCTAGAAATAACAAATTAGTGAGTAGAGAAACACTATAAATTTAAGATTTTATTCGAAAATAAATAACCGATGTGGTTCATAGAGGCCTTTTTACAGTAATTTTTTTCAATCACTGCCTTCAAAAGTTTAATTTCTAAACCTTCATAAGATATCATCACCTTTAAGGAAACATTAAATTTTTCAAGTAAAAATTGTTATACTAGAAAAAGACAATTTATTGTGGGTCAATTTGGGTTATTTCGTCCTAAGTTTTAAGGAGCTTAAATAATACAATCAGTTGCCCTTTGCAAAATAGAAATCTTCTATATAACGGCTAATATTTTAGCATTGTTCCTGTAGGAGTGGGTGGAACCGCATATTACCAAATTTGGTTGAAAGATTGAGGTATTAACACAGGGACGAAAGAGTTAGGCAGTATATTTTTATAAGTCGCTCGTCCACCCTCATATCCTTGTCATCTTGAGGTTTATCGTAGAATATGTTAGCCTTTAGTGTTAACAGTAGGTAGAAGATGATTGATAAAAATATAATAAAGTTCATTTAACACTAAATGTATATATTGTTTACGAACAAGCACAGTACACTGCTATTTACAGGAAGGCCAACTCAGTGGGCAACGATTAACGACCAAAGTCATTCTTTAAACGCTATTTCCGCTGGCGGCTTATTTAAAAGTCGGCACAAAGCAATTATACGTGATTGTTTAGGTCGTTTTCAATCTTTCAGTAAAAATTGTTATGCTCTAGCTCTTCGTCAGTCAGGACTTTATAAAGGGTCTATCCCCTTTTTCTCCCACAAACGTATTATATTTCAGGTGATGGTAGTGATACTTCTACATTAAATTTAAAACCATTGAACGCTTGATGTGTAAAAATTAGAAAATTTTATCGACAAAGGCGAGTATTATAGCTTAAACTTTTACAAAATAAAAAAGCAACAGATTACTAGACAAAAAATTGATAATATAAACGTAATACTAAATTAAAATTTTTAAATACAAGTTTAAGATGTTAATAAAATTTTTTTCAGGTGTATCGCCGAATGATTAAAGAAATTAATAACAAAAACTATCGTAATGTCGAAAAACCAAGCTAGGTGCTAAAACTCTAAAGTGGTGTAGGCTGTAGGCAACTTCTAACTAGATTAATTAACTTTTACCAAAACTGATGTATTAGTTAAAGGGCTTTTGTTATAATATAATAGTATGTGCAAGCATTTTAAATAAAAGGTTTTAAATTAAATATTGCAGGGAAATAAACTTTCCCTGTTAGCTAACTAATTTAAAGTAACCTTTATAAAAAAGCGTAACATACTTTAAGCTTTTAAGCTTTCTTAACACAACCATGAAAAATTTATCCGTAAAGATACCGTTCTGCTATATATTATATACCAAATAAAGTAAATTGTTAATATCCAGCTTGTTCAAAATTTAACGCTTAATTTGAATTATGTAGTTTTAACTTTTGTAAAAACTAACTTACTGGTTAATAATTTAACTTTATGTGTAGGAAAGAAGTTTATACTACACTAATACACCTATATTTTCCCGGTTAAATTCCCCAACAATGCTTATACTCTTATATACAAAATTTTGTCACTATAAAAAAGGAGATATGGTGCAATTAAGGCGCGAAAAAGCATTTCCGAAATGTTGGCTATGTCTCGAAGTGTATTTTTTGTGATATAATTGATGCCTTCTTAAATAGAGGCTGTGTGTCGCAAGAGCAGAAGAAAAGGTATAGTAGTGATGAGAAGGAACATCTATATTATAAGTTATGGTGTAGGAGACTTATCTTACTACCAGCACAGCCACCAAGTATAGTACATAACAGATTACATATTGATAATACAGATATAAATTGCGGTATTGCAAAAGTTTATTAATTATAATAAATTTCTTCAAAAAAAAAGGAGAGCCACTCGGTGGAATCTGAGTTCTTTTGTATAAACTTACAGGCAAAAAAAACAGTTCACAAGGTTTGCATATTTTTTTAACATATTTATTAATTAAATTAAAATCATTTAAAATCATTCTATTAAAACAGATCCCATTATGTCTTAACAAAGTAGGGAACGCTGTAAGAACTAACGTTTCCTAATAAATTAATTTCTTGACTAATAAGATAAAAAGTAGTAGACCGTTTGATCTTATAAACATATAATTTAAATATTTTATGAATCATTAAAAGAATTCCCCAGTAAGAAGTTGGTCTTTTTTATAAATTCTTAGATTTAAGATTAAGGTACTGACGGGAGAATAGTTCTTTCATAATATACGGAAGTTCCAATATTTGCATCTTTAAATGGTGCTCGTGCAATTCCCTCATATGAATGAGTCTTTTGTTCCACTAAAGCGTCAGAGATGATAATTAAACAAAACAAATACAATAATTTCAACATTCCTCAAGGTTGACAGATGCATATTCACTGGCCCGTATAGTGACCTCTGCAGCAAGCAAACTTTCGTTAACATTCAGCGTCTCATCTTCACTTATCTTAAGATAAATTTTGTTAGAAAGGCGATGATCTTATAGCAATTGCAAACAACTATATAGTTAAGCGTGTAATAGTTGTACAACAGCCACGCCGCTGTAAAAAGAATACAAGCAGTGCATAGTAAACTCAATAACGTGGAACACACCGCTTCAGAAGAGCTGTCCGCGTGAGTTTTTGAGCTAAATGATATACAACGCTTTAATTTTTTTCCAACAAAAACTTAAAAAAACTTATAAAAGGAGAGGAAATCAAAAGTGTACATGACGGTGCGTCGACGCAAGATAGTTTCTTTGATAACAGCATTATAGATGCCGAGAAGCTGAGTTAAATCATATAGTTCGCTGTCTGTGAAACTCGAGGGAAGGGCTTTAACTACATAGTGGGTTTCAAAGAATTTAAAATATAATAAAGGAACTTTATAAAACTAACGTTGTTTTAAACGGATTTCAGTAGCGACACTATTCTCATTTTTAAAGCGGAATTTATTAAGAAAACTAATAAATAAGAAAATAAGTTACCTCAAATAAATATAGTTATCGTAACAAAGATAATAGTTTGGCTTTCTGTAAGAAGAGTAAATTGCTAACAAAATAACTATTACTTCAAATCCACATAAAAATAACGCTGGCGAGCCTCCAGTATGGCAATATGGTGCATCACAGCATTTCTATAGCAGTGGAGCGACAAATATTTCCTGATGAGCCTTTTAAGCTTTAATTTTAGTAAGAAAGGAAAAGCTACCATAGAATGCCAAAAAAGGGGAAACGTTCACTTTAGTAACAAAAAAAGAGTTACTTCCTGAGTGTTTTCCGCATAAGTATTTTCGCAACTTCCTTCTAAAAGAACTTTTAAAGAGGCGTTAGAAGCAATAATGGTGTGCAGTTTATTCCATAACAAGTCGCGCTTTTCTTTTAAAATCTTCAGAATGGCTATTCAGTTGTAAAAATAAAAATATAAGTATACTTTAACCAGAAGTTCTTCCTCCGCTTCCAACAACAATAGTTTGTAATCTCTATTTTCTTGTTCATTTTCTATATACTGTTGCCATCGAATATCCTTAAGCTTTTCAATAGCAACTTTTTTATCAACAACTGCTTGCTGAGCTAAGAAAAGCTAATATTTTGGCATTCTTTTAACCGGTATGATAATATTATTTAAATAACTTCACCTTGAACTGGACGTCTTCAACATATTTAAACGAGTCTTCTAAAAGTGACTGAGTGATAATATTCCCAAGTTTAACAGTTTTACCGGAATTTTGGAGCTTTGAAAACAAGTTACGTCTAATTTTTGCTAGCTTATAGTCAACTTTTTCAATAGTTTTTTCACAGTTAATTCTTTTCTTTTTAAGAAGAAATTTTATATTATTAGAATTAGAAGTCATCTAACAATAAAATTAAAAACGAGTCTCGCTATACAATCAATGGACGCGCCCGTTGTCGAACTGCGTATGTTGGAACTAACAAGACAACTAGGCAGGCTTTACCCCTGGCAACTGTGGACTTGGACAGCCTAGTTATTTGTGAAACCGGGCGTTACCTAATTTATGCAGTTGTATTGTATAGCTTTGCTTTCTTTTCAAAGCGACGAACTGCGGATTAATTACAAATAAAACTTAATAACGGGCATGTAGTAAAGATTAAGCTTTAACCGCGTAGATTAAAATTTTCGTTTTCCGAAAAAGCTTTTATGATCATAAAGTTAGGCAAATGCGTGAGGAAAAAGGCGTGCCTGTTGCAGATAAGCCACTAAAATCCGAGTTATATAAAATATATTGCATAGCGGTATTAACAAAATTATATAAAAGCGGAGCTCAAAAAGGCACATTTATTTAAAAATTGTTCTCACTGGATAATACGAGGGTTATGTTTTTATTGAATGCTCATAAAAGTTTACGTACCTAGAATGCCCTCCGATAAATTCGCAAAAATAAGCATTCCAGCAAAGAAAACATACTTGATCTCTCTACATCCTTCTATGTTAGGGTTTTCATAAGTTTTAAATAATTAACGTTATGCAACATTTTACAGCCTTAACAATATAAAAGTTGGGAAATTAAGCGAAAGGTAAGTAGCCAACTTGTATACTGCTTGCAGTATAACTCGTGCACTCCACGGCCATTTCATGAAGTTAACTGTTACAAATATTAGGTTTTCCACCAAGTTAAAAAATGGATAGCTTTCTTTAAAAGAACAGGAAACCATTTTACTAAAGTGATAAGTCCTAAAATCCATTCCTCTGGGTTACAATAATTTAAATGCAGTAGTTTGCCGTCGTAAGCGGTGTAGACCTTTGACACGCCAACTCAAGATGTTACTAACACAACTTTTAAGCCTGGAGTAAGCCAATAAACTTATATAACCCGTTCTATAAAGTGGATGAAGTAAAATCAGGTTTATATTAAGAATTTGCTTATGCCAATCTAAAAATAAAAAGTTTGACCTATAAATGTGGTTTTATAAGGCTGGCAAGCCTAAAATTAAAATTTTTTTTAATAAGGTTTCTGTTATATAAAAATAACAGTAAGATACGATAGAAAAACGATAAGCAAGACAGCTATCCCGTCGTTAATGGCGACAGCATTGTTTCTAAGGATTGCCCACAACGCTTTAGCTGCAGTAGCGAACTCAAACCACGTCGCATTCACTTAAAGACGCAGCAGTTTGCTTTTTTAGCATTTATAGCAGGAAAGTTGTTACCGACAAATTGTGAGTCCGAGCAGTAGATGCTTATATCATGTTCGGTCAATGGTATAACATAAATAGCCTAAGAGTATAGAGTAAACGAAAGCTTGCTTCACACAATAAATTTTTTTCTTTAAAATCTCCTTCGCTATTAGTTTTTGTGAATTTGCGTTAAGCAACAATGTTAAAAAAGAAAATAAAGATTAGTGTAAAGTTTACAGTTATATAAGCAACCCAGCGAAAATATAACATAAAAAGTTGTCTCAAGTTGTTAGTGGTAAAAAAGTAAATATTATATCACGCGTTACTTTCCTCGTGGGGCCTTCAGCCTGTTTTTTTTCGATGTTTGCTGGGAATGAGCTAAGTGAGCAAAACTTTAATTTACTAAACCGCTTATCGCAAAAAAGACGTGCATATACTTTCGATGAAGTTACTTTATCTGACAGGTTCATGAAGTTAATTAATATTAAATCAATTGTGTAACTTGCATTTCAAGACCATCAGAAATCCATCCTTTAGAAGTGAATTTAAACACCTATGTGAGTCGTGGCATTCGACTTAAAGGTTGCGGAATTATTTCAGCTGCTATGGATACGGTAACTGAGAAAGAACTGGCCTTAGTAATGGCTAAGATGGGAGGCGTAAGTTTTTTTATTTGTGCAGATTCTATTTGAGATTAACTATGTTGTTTATGAATTTATGTTTGTATTGCGCGTGGCCTAAATATTATTTTTAAAGATGGGGATCATCCATTGCAATTTGCCTATTAAAGAACAAGTAGAACAAGTCAAATGGGTAAGGTTTAAAATTCATGAAGGAGGTATATAGGTAGAAGGTTTGTCTTTCTACTCTAACCACAATGTTATTGTATAAAAAGGGATGATAGAAAAGCCTATAACTTTTCTACCACATCAACGCGTCAGTGTCATACAAAATTCTATTAAGGAAAATGGTTGGACTTTTACCTCTTTTCCTGTCGTGGATGAGGAAGGAAAACTACTGGGCTTAGTTACCAGGGACGAGTTGAATTTCGTAGAAAGTATATTATACTTATTTATAATAATTAATACTTTTCTATTTAATTTTAGCCACAAATCCTTTTCTTAAGGATGTGATGAGAGACTTGTCAATAATTGTGACAGCGCCTAAAGGCACTTCGACCGATGAGGCTTACTGCATAATGAAACATCGGCGAGTCAAAAAACTTCCAGTGGTTACTGAAGATAAGATTTTGTTAGGAATGTATGTCTGGAACGACGTCAGAAAAGATCAACGGCGAAAAGAACTTTTTAGTATTGACAAAGATGGTCACTTTTTGGTTGGGGCCGCCATAGGGGCCGGTACGTGTTTTGGCATTCTCTTTTTTTTGTTTTTCTTATAAATTTATATTGTATAAGGTCCCGAAGGTTTTGAAAGAGCTCAAATGCTGGTCAACGAGGCCGGTTGTAAAGTCCTTGTTCTAGACTCGTCTCACGGTTTCCTAGCTTTTAGTTAAATATCGCTTTAATTCTTATCATAAAATTGTGAAATTTTTTAGGTTCCTGTCGTGCAATCAAGAATCAGATTGCATCTTTAAGAAAGTTATTTTTTAGCTCTATAGAAATCATCGCTGGAAACATTGCATCGTATGAGTCGGCGATGTTTTTGTTGGACGGGGAGGCAAAGCCGGATGCTTTAAAAGTTGGTATAGGACCGGGCTCCATCTGTACTACCCGTGAGGTTTTCTTTCTTACCTTCAACTAGCAAAGCTGTGTAATTCACTCTTTGCAAGGTCACTGGGCATGGGATCCCGCAAATCACGGCTATATTTGAGTGCTGGAAAGCGGTCAATGACTTTGGGAAAAGGACAGGCTACTACGTCCCAGTCATCGCTGATGGAGGCATTAAAAACTCGGGCGATATTGTTAAATCATTGGCCGCTGGTGCCAGTGCCATAATGCTGGGGAACGCTTTGGCTGGGACCCTCGAGTCGCCAGGTAGTCCGGTTTTTGTAAATTATGAAAGTCGCTTGTCTATTTTCATCGGCAGGCAAAATTGTGGTCAAGAACGGGAAGACGTTTAAGTGTATACGGGGGATGGGCTCCCGAGCGGCCATGGAGGAACGGCATGGCTCCAGAAGTCGATACTACCGAGTGGACGACGAGCATCAAGGGGAGTCGATCACCGCTCAACAAGCTGAAAAGATCGTTCCTGAGGGCGTAGAGGGGCTGGTCGAGCTCGTAGGCGACGTGGAGTCTGTAATGACGCGATTGTTAGGTGGTGTTCAGGCCGGGTTGGCGCATAGCGGAGGTATCCTTTTTTAGTAAAATTTCCTATATAGAGTTGCCGGTGCTTACTTTTTGTGTAAAGCCACCGATATACCCAGTTTTCAAAAGCGTGCGCAGTTGTGGATTCAAACCTTTGCCGGCTTGACTGAAGGGAAGCCCCATGACATAACAGATATTAGAAAATAAAGAGTTAATTTGTCCATTTTTTTTAAAATCGCTGGTTTAAATAAACTAACAAAGGATTTTTACATAATACACTCATGCTCTACTTTTTATTATGTTATTATAAAAGTTAATTTATTATTGTCTAAAAACATCTATAAACTTTACAAGTTAATAAAACTAAGTGCAGCTTTTCATGGCTTTTTATTTTGTAACGCAAAATACTGTTATACATGGATTAAGATTGTTGCTATTATAGCATATTTTAGTAATTGTAAAGTAGACTCTATTGTATATATGCCTGTATAAAAAGGATTTTAAAGGTTACCATGTGTGAAGTTAGGGGCAGAGAAGAGTATTAAGGTTAATTTAATCCTTTTGTGTGTTTTGAGATGCATACATATCTATTAAATTAAATGCTAAAGATTATTAGTTTAGAGCTTATGTGGTTGCGAACATGAAACTGTTAGCACAGAAGCAAATAAACGCGTTAAACCGACCCTCAGTTGTAAGTTGATACTTTTTAATTTCTTACCTTGCTTAACACTCCGCACCACCTTAAAAAGTTAATAATTTATGTAAATATAAAATTATAAAACGACATCTTGCTTATAAATTGTTATTGGCTGCATCTTATAAATTAAATAACCTGTGACTTTATAAAAGGTTCATGTAAAGGTTAGCCCACCATTAATATTGGAAATTTTTTTATAATACGCTTTAGCGAACACCGACGTTGTTACTACCAAAAATGATTTATAATACTCCTTAATCGTGAGACCACTATCGAATAGCTAAATAAAAGTAAAAACTGCGTCAGAGTGCTTGCAAAAGTTAAACTAGTAATATTATGAAACAGGAGTTTTAACTTTCGCTTTATTTCGATTTTACAAGCTTAAGGTTTCGAAATACTATATATTATTGATAAAGAATAGGTATAATATAGGATAACCATAAATACAAAAACTTTGTAATAATCCCCTTGGTGACTTTTGAGCTGCCTGAGAAGCAACAACCGCACTCCCTAAAATAAGCAAACAAAAACATGCCATCTTTTTCAAAACTCCACTTGGTTTAGTGCCACCTGTTCATATTGGTTTCTTAATTACAATTTAAATGCCTCATTAGCTTATTTCGAATGCACTGGCTAGTTTGTCCCCAGCACTTTGTGACTCATGAACATTTAAATAAGGCGTCGCAGTAGGGAGATGATTGTTCTCAGTTCGTCGGACAGGCGATCGAAGCGGACGTTACATAACATTGTGGTGGCGATGGTGCGCGCCATGGTTGGTGTGTTTTTAAAGCAGCTAACAGCATTATCTAACTTGGTAACCGTTGCCAGTAGTAGTGGGCATGGCGGGAGCGTGGTTTCGAGAAAATCCACCAATTTCTTTCTGTTAGTAAAAAAGACCGACGGATTTTCAATGTCTTCTCCGTCTCCTAATTAAGAAAAGAACTGGAAGGTAGTCGTATGACAGTTCGTTGAGCGCTTCGAATCGCCGTCGAGAGACCTATATCTTTCGTTATGGCGACATCCAGTACGTCCTTTGTAACAAAAAAAAAAGCTATCCGACTTTTTTACACATGTTCTCGAACAATTTAATTTTTTTTTTTCGAGGAGGTCTGATTGTTTTTTTTTTTTATTTATTAATTTATAAATGGTGTTTCCTGGCGCTTGATCGAATTAACAACAAATACACGGGTTCTCAAACATTTATTTTTCTACGAGTGCAAGTAAAATTATTATCTTAATATGTATTCCTCACATTTAATTTAAACTCCCAATTTAGGTTTCAGTCGTCATGCTAAGAGTACGCCGTCCCCCAACTTGTAAGTGAGTTCTTCCGCTAAAAGGCGATTAGCGTGTCCAGCTACCTGTTCGTAGAGGGCGACTACATCATTTAATAAATATTGTGACCCGCAGCTCCATCTGTAGTTCGTGGTAAAAATGTATCATCGCGCACAATCCCGGCGCGTTTGTTATAAGGGGCAGCAGTTTGTTTTGTCGTATTTGAAGGGGGACGTTTATTGCCGATAAGTCGTAGCTCAGACAGGACAGACCTTTGTCATAACTGGCGAATGCACAGCACATAAGGTCTTCCCTTATTTCGAAACGTAAGTTTACTTTTGCTGCACAATAGCGGATATAGCATTTGGGTCGCTGCCTCGTAATTTACGTGTGGACGCCAACATGTCTTGGAATCTATAATGACCCCCAGGTACTTTATTTGAGCACACCAAGGAATTTTCATGCCGTTAAAAGTTAACGGAGTCAACAGCGCATGATATTTCTTCTTTAAAAGAAGCGGCTTGCTTTTTATGCGTTAATAGAGAGGTCCTGTTGACGACACCAGCTAGCAAGCGCGTCGAGGTAAAATTGTAAGTTCTAACATAGTAAAAAGGGTAATTTGGACGATGAATAAATCATCGTATAATCGGCGGTAAATGGCGACCTGCGTGCGAGGGTGGACTGGAAGAGGTATGTCGCTTGTAAAGAGCGCGAATAGTAGTGGTGATAAAAGAATGTCTTGCAGAACCCCCGCTGTGAGATAACGAGGCGACGGCAATGCAGGGCCTACTTGCACGTTGTGAACCCGGCCGTTTAAGTACGACTTATGAACTTTTTGAAGGCCGCGCGGTATCGCCAAAGAAGGAAACTTGCTTAATAGGCCATCACGCCATACTCGTTTAAAAACCATCTCAACATCGGGAAAGACAGCGCCGTAACTTTTTAAATATTAAAGACACTGGTCATCTACTCGGTTAGGCGAAAATTTCGTTGGGTCATTGAAATTCCCTTACGAATTCCAAACTCTTGAAAAATTTATCGGGCGTTCACAACCGCCTTCAAACGATTTATAATCACTACCTCAGCTCTCTTAGTCTCTTACCAACTGCCGATAAAAGACTGATGGGTTCATAGTTGTGAGGTCTATGGCCGGTGGCGAATGATGTCTTTGGTAACATCAAGACTACCGTCATTTTTCATCTCCCGGGGAAATAACCCGAAGGTCAACGAAGCTGCATAGATGACATAGCGGCCTCTAGCAGCTGTTTTAACATCAGGTTAGTGAGGCCTTTAGGGCCGGCCCCTTTCGCTTTAGTAGTAATTTAATAATTGATTTGATCACATCTAGGTAAACAGCTCCAGATAGTCAGTTGTATCAGACGAGCTAAGACTAGGCCCAAGGGGAGCGTTTTTGACGGTTGAGAGGGTAGATGGCGAACACTGAACAGCTAGATGATCTGCCAAGAGTTTCGCTTTGTCTTCACTGCCTTCGGCTACGATATCGACGTTGCGAAGTGGAGGCCGAGTAGAAGACCGCAATTTTCAACTCGCTTGACAAATGTTAGAAAAGAGGCATGACAGATGTCACCAGCTTCCGATACTTCGTTTAATTTATCATCCTCTTTGCAGTTTAATGCGCCATCAACATTTTTCTGATGTGCCGGTGAAGGCGTTTAGCACTAGTTTGTCTTCTGCGCGTTGGAAGGCCGTGACTACTAGGATGAATCGCGTTCCTCAGGAAGGTGTTTAGGCGGTACACAACTTCACGTGTCGTCGTTGCTTCGCTGTGACAAAAGTAATGTTTAGTTTAGCGGGAGTTTTGAGTGGTGTTGTAAACGGTGTGAGCGCCTTCTAGAGTGATATGGTGAATTTGTTCCAATTTGTGTAAGATCAGGAAATGTCCTTATTATCCCTTTTCGTCACGTACTTCGAGCAGGACAGGCAGATAATCTGACGAAAATTCATTCAAAGTCTCCATAGCCGTTGGAAGGTATATATATTTTAATACGGTGATATCCAACACGTCCACTTTGCCCGGTTTCTTCGCAGAGTGCGTTAGAAATTCTGTGATCCTAGGACTTTCAACCCACGTTCTTTAGGATAAGCCTCAAGGACGTAGCCTTTTCGATTTGCAACCAACTGCTCCACACACGATGTTTACAGTTAAAACCGCATAGAATAGCCGGAAAGTCATGAACTGAAAGAGCGACAAAATCGAAAAATGTGAGTGTTGGTTGGGCGGTTTATAGATTGCATTCCCGATCATGGGCCCCTGTCTAGCTAAGTTAAGGATAATACTAACTGCTTCGATGCCTTCCCGAGAATGGTGTTGGATGTTTCGTATGACCAAGATAGTTACTCCTCCACCACTAATGTACAAATGATCCTAGTGATACGTTGCAAAGTTGTAGATGCTAATTGACAAGGGGTAGCACTGTGTTTAGCTGACGACACAAAAATCTATGCTTTCGCGTACATCAACCCTTGCAACTAGTGTTTTCCTTCTGGTGGCCCTCTGCGTCCCAAAATAAACGGGCGCAGCACCACCGATTCGAACCGCAAATCCTCCTCTCTTAAATAAGCGGACTAGCCTGACAACGGACAACGAATGACCCGCACGAGGGGGACGACATTGCGATTTTTTTTTCCAGTATTACCACCCATTCCTTTTCTGCCTTTCCCCTACCATTCATCCTTACTTTTGTTCCAGAATCTAAAAATGCAGCGGGCGGGGAGCAAAAAAATAGGAGTATAAAATTTAGATTTTATTTTCCAATGAAAATGTGTAATTACGATTATGTAATCAACTACAGAAAAAAGAGTGTTCTGCGTTTACTCCAAACCCTATATTTTTTTTTTTCAAGACCAATTTAATATACAATACTTAGTAGCTAAATGGGCAACTACATGGATCTAATAGGGTAACACAAGAAGTCAATTTTAAAATGTTCTTTACTAAAATAAATTTAAAGAAAATATCCATTTTTAGTAATTTTTCCTATCTTCAAAGAAAAATATTATAAGTAGCTTTTAAGTAAATCGAACCCCCTCAATTTTGTTTATATATTCCGCGCTTTTTCGGCCCTAGGAAGGACACCCTTTCGAAGTATATGGCTCGAACTAAGCAGTCTGCGAGGAATTCTAAGTAAAGGAAGGCACCAATGAAGCACGTAGCCATTAAAGCTGCTAGGAAGTCAGCGCCTGCCACTGGTTAAAAAACCTCGCAGGTACCGTCCAGGAACGGTTGCTCTTTGAAATATAAGGCACTTTTAAATACCAACAGAGGTGCTTACCGCAAGCTTCCTTTTCAGAGGTTGGTGAGGGCAATTGTTCAAGAATTTAAGATGGACCTTAAACTTACAATCTTTTCACTGAAAGATTCAACCTGACATTCTGAATATGGTTGCCGTGCTTGGAAAATAAGGCAACAGATTAGACTTGTACCTTGGGGAGCTCGGAAGTTGTATTTTACGCACGATTTGAAAGACTTGCTCTTAAAAATAGTAAACCTTACATAGACGAAGACTTTAAGAAGGTTTTAGATTACCTTCGACGTGAACAATTTTGGCCTCTGATTGCTTGTCTCACTTGATTTCCATCCGAATTGACAAGTGGTCAGACTGTAACATATAGGAAAATGAAGTCAACTTCCATATAAGTCTATTTTTGCAATGAAAAATAACTTGGCTAAATAACCTTGTGAATAATAGTCGCTGTTACTGGTATACTATTGCATTGCCTCGCTTGATCTTGTATTAAATTTATTGTATACTTATAACGCAGAGCCTGAGGCAGTGTGCTGTCCTTTGGCTCTATAGTACATGGTGACTTAACAGAGGTGAATAGTGGCGAGGTAAAAAAGCTATGGTTATTCTTAGTGCTATAGATGAGTGGCACGTGAATAACACGATTTACATGGCATCCACATGTTTGCTTAAACTTTTAGTGAACTTTGCTAGGTACTTTTCATCCTCTGATGTGCAAAAAGATAGTAGTGCTTTCTGCTAATAATAGATTTTGGCAAATTTTAGTGGTTTTTTACTAGTATATTATTCTTGTATACATGTACAGGATACTTGTACTCTTTGGTTAACTTTTGTTAGCTAAAGATTAAAGTACTTGTTTCCTATTTCTGGTACATTAGTAGTATGGTAGCATAGCACATACAGAAGAGTAGTGTTATTTATTAGTATATAATGAAGCCGGTCTCCTCGTTCTATACGACCCAAGTCGTTCTTGCAATGACTCTGGGCGTCCAAAGATCTTAAAAACAGGCACGTATATCGAACTTGTGCAAGTGACATTGGGTTCAATCGAATCTAAACAGAAAGCTTCAATATCCTTGAAACAAGATTAGACAGATCAGTTATAAGATCGACCGTATCGAGAGCATTGCATTCTGCAGGTCTCCATACGAAAAATTTGTTAATTTAAACCCACTTTGACAAAATCTTCACAAGCGGCTGATATTTGAGCTTGAGAAAAAGTACAAAAATTGGTCCATATTTGACTGGGAAAAGTATATTTTTTCAGATGAGACTAAGGTTAGTCGATATGGTCCAGAGGATATTAGGTGGTGTTGAAAGCTATCCGGCGATAATCGGATACTTGATCATCAGGTGGTGCAAACAGAGTAGGATCTATTGAGATTTTGTCCTGTAGAACATCTAAGGGGGTTATATCTTTTGATAATGTGACAGGGAGCATCACCTTACACACGTATTTAGGCCTTAGAGAGACCCAAGACATGTGGTTGGTGTGGTCTTGGTCTTGATCTTAACAAAATGGTTTTTCACAAGGGTGACACCCCATATCACATCTTACCATCGGTTCGATCCCAGCTGCAATTACAGCTCTTCCCCATGTTAGACTAGCCTCCGCAATCTCCCGAGCTCAGTACCATTAGCGTGCATGGTGACCCTTAAGAGGAAGTTGGGATCATGAGAATCAGTTCCTGCTAAGTTGGACAAGCTATGGACTCGTGTGCAATCAGAATAGGATGATATAACAACGGATCATTTCCAGTTTGTTTGCCAAAGAGGGTACAAGCATTGATTCTGGCAAAAGCAAGCTATACTAATTATTAAAACATCGTTTACCCACAAAATTAAATTTTTTCAACGTTAATTTTACCAGTATTAAGTCTTTTAAACCGGTATGCTTATAAACTATTAGTTATAAAGTATAATAGATTGTATATTAAAGAACATAAGATATTTTAATATAAAGTGGAAGATTCAACACGGTAGTAATTTATTTGGTAAATTTAAAGACTCCTAGGGAACACGCACACAGCCAAAATCACAAATTAAAGAAAAAAGATAAGTCGTGCTTGAACCATTTCATGCATATATCAACTAGCCCTCATCTATACAAGGGGCAAAATAATCTCTCAACTCTACAAGCTCTTAAGATCAAGTATTATCAAAATGTAGCTAAAACATAAAAGATTGCTGTGTATAAATTTTAAAGTAATCCATTAAATTATTAAAAATTTATTCTACATCAATGCAGAATACAATACACTGATACAATTCTGGACGATAGTGTATAACTACCCTACGGCGTGGTCTTTGTGTATGCTGCCTGTTTGTAAATAGTTGAGGTTTTAGGTTTTACGATAATAGAACGGAATCTTTAAGAAATAGAAATTTAAGGATGGAGGATAACGTTGCGAAGTCATTAGAGCGTCTTTCCTTAAATGCTACTAAAACTGGGGAAGGAAAAACTGAAGCGCGTGATCTTAAAAAAGTTTTTTGAATTTTTGATTTCCGCCGTTCGTCCTCCAAATATTATTCATAAGGTTTCAGAAGGCCGAAATGAAACATCTGAAGCCGACTGCGCTTTCTTATCAGACAGTTCCAGACTGTTTCAGGTTTAGTTTATTTTTATTGCATGCTTAAATAATAGTTTATGTTTATTCCGCAACTTTCTATATAGTAATTTTTTTTATTTTTTAAGCTTATAAAAGTTCATAAGCAAAGAATTAAAGAGAAACAAGAACAGAAAAATCTCAGGTTTTACTAGTTATTATAAATTTAGTAAGAACAGAACTAATTTTTTTTTTGGTTGATTCCCTTCTTATTTTTCTTGGTAACTTTTTTAAAGAAAAAAGTTTATAAAGATTTTTTGTTAAAGTTATTATTTAACAGCTTTTTACTTTTATATCATAGAATAGTATATTGTTATATATAAGGTAGTTAACTTATTTAAGTAATTATAATATTGTTTATAATAATTATTTAGTGATTGCTCTTACAGCTCTCTACAATCGCAATTTACTGTGGCACAATTAGTAGTTTATAAAAATTTAAAGTTTTTAATAAGTATTTTTATACGGGATTAGTCTGTTTATTTTAAATTGTCACTTAGAGAAGTTGAGCTTGCCAAAATAAAAGTTAGCGAAGATCATGTTAATTTAATAGCTAGAGAGTTTGAACTTAATAATTCCCAAGCATCTTATCAGCTCAAACTTCAAGGAGGTGACTTGTTCAAGACTATGAAAGCCCTCCTTACGGTATTAGCCTTTATTTATATTGAATTATGTTGTTTTTAAGTGAACCGGAGGAAATTTTTTTCTACCGAAGAACTGTTTTTTATTGCTCCAAAGACTTATCCAAACAATTTTTTTTAAAATCTTTAATTTAGTTATTGGTTTTATCAGATAACGCCGGAACTGTTTTGGTTAATAAATTTGTGGTTTTATTTTAAAAAATCCTTTCTAACCTCTCATTTTACTTAACTTTAAATAGTTTTCTAATTTAATTTTATAACTTATATAATAATTTTATGATTTATTATCATACTTTTATTTTTTTTGTATATATCTCTATATTTTTCATTTTTTGTATAGTTTCAATATACAATTTTATATTAAGTTTGTAAACAACTAATTAAAACTTGCCTTTTTTATTTCTCCAATTTTTATAGCAGATTTATTTGGAGATATATTTTTATGTAGTCTTATTATTTGTAGCGGTTTTTGTTGCCTCTTTAAGAGCTTGAAGTGTCTTTATCGACTGTATGTACATTAAATTTATAATTTTTTTTACTTATTAAAAAAAAAACTTAAGCAGCTGTACATAACCTTTGCTGTAATGTTTACCCTACTTTCTATATATAACAGGATTGATGATATAAAGTTTTTTACTTTGGCCATCCGTCTCTACTTTCGTCATTGCCAAAAAAATTTAAATTAAATAAATAATACTGAGTTTAATAATTGAAAAGCAGCCCCACTTAATTATTGACTTTTTTCTTCAGAATTGTTTTCCTCTTCTCTCTCTACAAATTCCATTTGACTTTCCATGTAAACGTCATCCTTAAGTTTATTCTCGGAAGCCTCTTCTCTATCAAGAGGCTCAGCCCCGCTGAAGATGAGATATATTATTCCGCCCACCACGTACATCCCTGACGTGATCCCGAACGCAATCCCCCAGCTGTCTACGAAGAAAGTTTATTATTCATCAAACGTTTTTTAGATGAGTCTCAGGAATTTATGAGGAATTAAATTAACTAAATTAAGTTGTTAAAGGTTTTTATAAAAAGTTTTTTATACCAAAAAACTTTTCATTGAGGTTTCTAACTTTTGCAATTTAAAAATTACTTAAATTTTAATAAACAAAATAACTCTGTGAAAAAGTTTTTAGATGTAAGAAACTTTTGATTATGTTTTAGTTTTAAAAAAGTTAAATAAGGCATTGTTATTTTATTATTTAGAGTTAGTATTAGCTAAGAATATTATTTATTGTTACTTTATCATTAAAGTGAATATAAACTCTTGTTGCTGGCCGTGTATTAAGGGGGATTTTTTCAAATTTAAATGTTTTATTATAGATTTCATAGGTATGAATACTTCGAAAAAAGCATTAGGCGTGTAAACTACTTACTTTTTTTTCCCATAAGAACTCCGACTATATTATTTCCCAAAATTCCTTTAGAGAAATTGCTTATATCAACGAAGATTTAATAGTTATAGTTAATAAAATAGTACCTGGGATCGTTGCTACCATGTTGGAGATTCCCTGTTGATAGGGTTTAAAGAATTACTTAATTGAAGCGAACAAAGATTTTTACTAGTACCATTACAAACTCTGGATTATTTGGAGCCACATCTATCATATTGGCCCAGTACCTTAATAAAGCGTGTTATCAAGAAAAATAAAAAAACTAAAAAGACTTCACCCTACAACTGCCATGCGAGCGAAAAACATTGAAGAGCATAAAAGAGCTGTTCCTGTTACTACACTTTTTGTGCCAACTGCAAGTCCGATTAAAAATAAAGCTGGAAGAAATGAGGAAATAGCAGCAAAAAAGCGCCGTATCCAAAGAAGTCTATATGATAGCTTATATAATATGGGGAAAAAATTAATATCTATAAAAGTATTTACCTGATTTTTTTTCTTATAAAAGAAGCTGTGCTTAAGTATCCCGCTAGATAGGAGCCAATTACTCCAAACACATAGGGCAGGCAAGTCGTTAACAACTATGCTCAGTGTTTATTATAGCTCAGTTCATTTTTTTAGTTATTTCAAACATGAAGTACATTTTCTCCGGAAACATGTAGTTCTGACTTAAAATACTTTGGTATCCAGCCGATTAGTACGTACCACCCTTTGAATTTACTTTTAATAACGTTTCCTTTACGACTACTTAAATGGAACACTCCATTTTACGAGTTTTTATCTTATTACACTATTCCTTGTGAATATAAAGAAACCCTAATAAACTATAAGTATGTTTGCTATACTTTCTATAGCTTATACAAAGCGCTTCTTCCTTTTACGCTACCGATTGTAGTAGATGTAACTTAAATTCTTGGCAAAAGTAGTAAGCTTATAAGTTAAATTGATAGCCGTGTGTCTAGGTCAACAAGTTATGCTCAAAATTTATAATTTTAAACATCTTTTTTAGATTCTGTAAACTCATATGGCGCCACGTAAAATGGTAAAAAGTGTCCTAATTTGTTTATTTAATATAAAAATTTAAAAAAATTCTGTACCATAATTAGCAGCAAAATGCATAGCCACAATGGCCCATATTTCTTTGTGCCGTAAAATATTCCACGGAGTAGAGGCCTTTCAGAGTTAGGTATATAGTATTTTAGTTGATTTATATTTAAACAAAACAGTATAATAAGTGCTAACTTGTTCGATGGCTGTTAAATAAAAAAAATTATGAATAGCTTCAAATGGTTAATAGTTTTGTATATGGTATATGCACAACGCCTCCCTCGTAAAGAAGTTTGCCATTTTTGTCACTGAAACCTTTTAACAGTAGTATGGAAAGTTTATAAATAAAAGCGAAAATCTGGTGAGAAACTTCAATAACTTGGTAATCTTTATAAATGAAAAAAAAAGAATAATAGGGTTAGGGCTATGTTCACTGAAAGTATACTTGAATGTATTTGTTTACTGTTTACTTGAAAACCTTTTTTTTTAAAGAGAAGAATTGCAGTTAATCAGATGACGCTTTTTTTTTAAAAAGGTATGACAAAGGATGGTCATAAAAACTCTTATTATGCAGGTTACTAAACATATTAAGTTAAATCAGCACTTTAAAATGATTTCAACCTAACAGGTTTTAAAAAATAAAATGCTTAACAAACGAAAAAAAAACCAAAGTGCTGTTTGTTAATAAGTTTCCGGTATTTAAGTGTAAAAAGGAAAGGAGCAAATTTCAAGGCAAATCTTTACGTTGCGAAGATATTATTTTAGCCAAAACAAATTAAAGTCGCCCGACAGTGTTAACCAATATAAATATCTTGATCCTCAATTATATATATAAAAAACCTTATAAGTAATTATGTATAAAAGGATATGTAAGCTCAATTAGTGCTTAAATAGTTTAAAAAAAGTGTTTGAGTGTAAAGGGGACCTTTAGTATAATGTTTTACGTCATTGCATTGTGTAAACACAAAGAACCAATTGTGTAACATATATGCGGAGGTTGTAGAGGGTATTAAGAAAATTTTCAAGGTTTTCATTGTAAGCTTTTTTTTTTTAAAAATTATTACTGACACCGCTGTCTTATACAAATTATATGTTTTAAAAAAAAACAAATAGACCTTATTTTTTATATATATAAAGGTTAAAAGGAATTAATATAAACGATACATAAAGTAAACTTAATTTTATAAACTTTTACTTTTGTTTTGCTTTGTTAATCGATAAATATTTACGCTTTATCAATACTTTCTTAGTAATTAGAAGTCTACCGAGTAATAATCAGCATTGTAGAGTACTCACTGCTTTACACTAAGTTATCAGCGTTTTTTTTAGTATCACTTACACTCAGCATTTGAAAATTTGTAAGTCTTCCCTCTGTGAGGCAATGCTTCATACACTAAGCAACTTTTTTTAATTTATTGAATTTCAATTTTTCTTTTAAGTATTTACTTTAATTATTAAGAATTACCCACCTTGTAACCCACTTGAAAAATGTTTATTTGAGCATAAATTTTTTTAAAAACTTTACCAAGTTGATGCTTAAAGGATTATATTTAAAGCAAATCTAAGGCTCCATCTTTGGGCTACATTTAATAAAAGTAGGCTAAAAATTAGTAGGAAAAGGTATTAGCCTATGTATACCAACTTAGTAATAAAGGTACTTATCTAATTAAACCCCCTGTTCGTTATCAATAACTAAAAATAGGCTTTCAGAAATTCTTCATCGAGCATAAAGATAATTACAAGATAACTTACCTGACCATGCGATCTTTGAGCGCTCTGCTCGGTGAGTTTTCTTTTTTCCATTTGAGATATGAATCGATTTCCTGAAGGCGTTGAGGATCCAAAAACGGCAAAGAAAAGAAGTAATACCACAGCGTATATATATGTGGCGATAAATACCCTTATTTATTCATTAAAAATAGCATTATATAGTAGGCGGTGGGATAACACTAAATATTACCATTTCCACCCGCCTTTAGCAATTATTATTGGACTTAAAACAAAAGACATAATCGCGCCCCAATCTTGGCCTGAATTAATGATCGCCAACTTAAAGAACTAAAACGGCAAAACAGGAAGCTATTAAACTAGCAGTTAGCAACCCAAACATTGCTGCTTTTAATCGGAAGCCAAGAGCCCATTAACCTGTGCATACAAGGAAAATTTACTCCTTCACCTAGAGTTAAAGACCCTTAAGGTGAAAGTATTTCCATGGTATATATTATTTAATATAAGCATAATGTTTACTTTTAAAATAAAATTTCAACTTATTCTTTTACCTTATAATATCGTTTTTTCTTCAGTTAATAATTTTTTAAGATATATCTATTAATTATATAATACAGTCAACTTTATTACATCCGCTTAACCAGCTGTTGCCATCACCCCACCTTTCTTAATCAATCCCCATAGCTTTACTTTTAAATTCTAATATTAGTTTTTGACTTGTATAAAATTAATGACACAGTGAAGAAGACTGGCTTAATACAAAATTTTTTATATTAATGTAAAGTAGGCAACTTCGGGCGGCCTTGTGGGACTGGTATTTAAAATTAATATTTACCTTAAAAGGATAAAGCTAAAAAATTAAAATTGTGCGAATAAAAAAAATTTATCAGTGAACCGTAAAGACGTTTTCTTTGCACTATATAAAAAAAAGTTTTTATATACACCAGTGCCTTCTTTAAGGAAACACTAGTAGACACAGAAACATGAATTTTAAATTCTAGAGCGTAACACTTATATAATTAAGCATTTTAATAACCTTTTTTAAACTAAAATTTAATTAAAATTTTGTGCGCTGAGAATGCTTTTAGAGCTGGCACATAACACGTGCTCGAGATAGAGAGCTCAGAGGTATAGGTTAAGATTCTATCCTTCCGGATTAGACACCTCAATATAACGGTTACTAAATCTGTACCAGCTCATGATATAGAGGTAAAGTTGTAATTAAAATCATTTTTTAATTCTAGACCATCATTTTACATTGGCCTTCAGATAATATTAAAAATAATAGCTTTGGCCATGTTGCAGTTAATTAAATAATATTAGCAAGCTTACCCATTCCTAATATTATTCTGCTCACCAGAAAACCGGGAAAATTGTGGCTGACAAATATTGCAATAAAGTCAAACGTGCTCCAGATTACTAAACCCGAGATAAGTACTGTCTTCGGTCCAATTTTGGCGGTAAGATAACCACTTAATATCTTATATCGTTTAAAAACTCATTAGAAGCAATATAGTAAGAAAAAGTGTAAAAAATCATACTAATTTTGTGTTAAGTCAATTATTATAGAACTAAAATTAATGGAGAAAAAAAAGTTCACTCTTTTGATCTAACACATTTCTGCAGCCTTACACTAAAAGTTTTTAAATGAACGAAAAATACTCTTAATATTTGCTTTAAGAAACCGCGCATTTACTTTATAAAAACCTTATATGGATATATTTATCAGATAGAACAATTTACCAGTATATACTACTATAATTTATAGAAAACATTTTTAAATTCTTAGAACAAAATAAAAATTCTCACTAAGTTTACCTGATATATTTATTAAAAAAATTAACTATTACTCGCCGTAGCTTAGTTAGAAGGAGGTTGTTCTGTAACCTATAGAAGAATACACCTTAGTATACGTTTAACTTTAAAGCTCCTTTCATTAATTCTCTCAGTTTTTGCATTTACTATTTGGCTCTGGCTCTTATAGTTTGCTTATGTGAGTTTTAAAAATGAAATTCTAAAAGCAAAAGCATGCTGAAACAATAAAAAGATAGATTAAAATTAAAAACTTGAAAGTTTTAAAATTAAATTTGATGCAACATATTGAAAAAGCTTCATAAATTAACTAAAAAAAATTCTTAATAAGAGCCAAACTTAGAAAGCTACTTTCTTAAATAAAATAGGAGAAAGACATAATAACAGAGATATGCTTTGCCAAGGTAAAATTTGAATAATTAACAGTAAAAACCACTTTGTAGGTTTTTTAATAAATTAATTTACGTAATATAAATAGTATTGCCTGTGTTGTTATGTAACCGTAGTAAAACCCGGCCAAAATTTGAGAAAGCTGCTTAGAATTATACATTGCAGTAAAATAGTCGGTAGTAAGGACGACACCAATATTTGAACGGGTAATGTAGTTCTGTAAGTTTAACGCAGTCAGCAAGATGACCATGCATAGCAATAGCCTGTTATTTTTAATTGTTTTACAAAAATCTGTATTGCGATAGAGTTAGTATTTCGAATTGCTATCTACCAAATAAGTACCTTTAATATGTTTATGTGGCATTTTATTTCAATGCAAAAATCAACTCTTCCAAGTAGTATAGAATTTCTTTAGATTTACTTTTTTTTATTTTATATTGCAGTGTCATAAAACATTAAATAATCATCACCTCGCTAACTTATTACAAGCGTCCACGTCTGAGTTACTAATAAGGCTCTAAAAAACCTATATGGAAATTAAGATCAGATGAGTACAGGAACCAAGAAATTAGTTACGGCAGGCCGGCAAAATTGAGTAACTTTTTTAAATTAGACTATTTTTGTTAAAAAAAATGTAAAAATTAAGTTTTCTATAAATAAAAACTCACGTTTTTTTTTGTTTCGGTCCGTTTTAGTACACCTACCATATCCCTCTAAACGTCCTCTGCAACTTTACTAGAATCACACATAAAGATTATGTTTACATATGTGACGTAAGTTTTAAAGGATTTTTTTATATTTAACGTGAGATAGATAAGTTGTGCATATAGTATTCAGTTAGGATTTTTTTAATTCTACTTAGTTAACTGTTGAAGTAGAGAGTTCGTTATTTAAAAAAAGTAATTTGTTCAAAAGTAATAATAAACGTTTTGGACCTTTTAGTTTTGACTCCTTAAATCTAAGCTTAAACGCTTTTACCATTCTGTTGTGAAACGAGAGCCTTGATACTCCAGGGGTGTCCAAAGAGTTGTAAAAAAAACTGGTAAAAAAAAAGTAGCTACTCTGCTGGTACAGAAAATAGAAATATAGACGTATATAAAACATAGAACTTGTATATTGTTTTATCAATATTAAAACTCACTTAACTTGTATAATTAAGAAATAAAATATTATTGCTGAGTAGATTTTCTTTGTTTGACAAAAACAGGTACCTGTAATTTTCTTTCTGATGCTGACTAGATACTAACTAGTTTTGAAATTTATTTAAAAAGTTAAATTCTGTTCTTTTGCTTATTACTTTCGGGTTTGAGAGAAATATGGTTTTTAGTTTTTTATCTGTAAACAGGGCTCTATTTTTATATATATATATATGGGGCTATTTTTAATTTTAGTTGCTCGGCTAATGTAGTATGTTGAATTTTTTTTTTAGTTAATTTTATTATTTAAGGCTAATCACATACTCCAAATGATCTTGTGTATATAATTGTTAGTTAAAAGGTCCCTTATTCTCTATTAATATGTACAAAAAATCTTGTTCTTTATTTATTGTTATATGCAACTATTTTTTTTTCTGATGAAGGGCATAAAAAGATCAAAAGTATCACCGTACCCCTATAAAATTCAAATTTACATTTAGGTGTGTCTTTAATGAAATACACTTAACCCTAGAGCGTTATGAGCGTGGTTAATTTTGCGGTGATTCCCCGGCAGGACTTTCAAATAGAGTGATCAAATTAAGAATCCCGAAATAGAATCGCATTAATCCTTCTAGAGAGTTCGATATATTCCAAGTGTGTGATTCTGAAGCCGGAGCCTCTCTGCTTTTATAAAAGGGGCCTCCTGGGCCCACAAATTATCATTAACTCTATATAAATCAAGAATTATTATTATTAAATGTATTACAATGGACGTAGACAACGCAGACACAAATATGTACCTTCCAATGGCTATTGAGATGCAGAAGGACTTGTTGTCGGACCATTTTTGCACAGCCCGCTCGAATTGGTGGATGATTTTAAATTGAAGACAATTTTTCGGTCTTACTACACAAACTGGAGTAAATTTACCCAATTGTTTAAAAAGTACTACTGCCGTCCCCCACTTCATTGAACAGTGCTGTTGTCGGAGTTAAACGTGCGATGACAGAAGTCTCACATCCATGCAAAGATGACACGTGAAGTTGCGTATCGCCCTAAACGCCTTCCTGAGGAGCTAAAAAAAGGTGCTAGTATGCGATCGTCGGCGTTTCATTTAAGTTATCATGACCTTTTAACACGTTGAAGACAAAACTGGTGCCATATTTACTACACCAACACTTTAGGGAAAAGGCTGAAACAGCGAATATAGTAAGAAACTGAGCAAAGTGTCGAAGGCTGGTTAACAACAATCGCGTCCACTCCTTTAAATTCGTCAGAATCGCATTTATGCATCTCAGTCTCCACATCACAACGGCGATACAGTAGCCGAAAGTAATGAAGACAAAGCGAACCTATTTATTGATAATTTTGCTGTCCAGTGTTCACCGCCAACCTCCTCAACCGGTGATAACGCGCCCTTTGCACCAAGTATTTTCTTAACTAATACAGCTGATTCCCTATTGACGTCTACCACAGATGTGATCAATTAATCGTTAACCGAATTGAAAGTTGCCCGGCCCTGACGGCATTTCTAACCTTATCTTAACAGAATTGCCAGTAGAAGCTATAGATCATCTCTGCTTCCTCCTCAACTCGGTGTGAGATGAAAACTGGTTGTAGTGTTTCTAAAGACACAACCTGGCCTCTGAACCTCGCAAGTACCGACGTAATAGACCGTTGTCGGCAGTAGGCAAGGTGGTTAACAGTTATACCAAATCGTTCGAAGGCGGTTGGCGTCGCCTATAAAATTATACCTAAGTTTCAGCTTTTATTTTAAAAAACATGACTCAACAACTTCTCCTGGCCGCGAGAACTATCCGAGTTTTTCATTTTAGGAAAGCCACTGACGCTGTCTTTTTTTTTTTGACACCGAGTATGGCATAAAGGCCTGTTACGTAAGCTTCACGTTTTGTCGATTTTACGTGACTTTCAGGACGTGCTCCAACCGTACCCAGATGGAAGCTTCTTCAGCGTGCAAGTGAGCGCTTCACCGCCTAGCCATATGCAGCGAGAGCCTCCCAAGGCCTTCCAGTCCGCACTTATTCGCAACTCGCCCTTCAGGCAGTTGATACGATGATTTATTCGTCGTTACTATCACCCATTTTACTACATTAGCACCTACTACTTTATCTGCACGTGCTTGCTAGCTCACGTAATCAGCAGGGGTTTCTTTTAATGCAGTAAAAAGTAAGGAGTTTCTTATAACTAAGGAATGCCTAGTGCTGTCCACACCGTTTATTTTTAGAGGTATTCCGTAGTGATCTCAGGCGAAACCATCTTGGAGTCATCATAAATTCTAACTTGTCGTTAAGTTCGCACGTGGATTACGTAGTGGCAAAGGTTAAGATAGAGACCCCGATGCTACGTCCTCTACTGTGCAGCAAAGTAAGCTTTTGTTGCGCAGTAAATGAAGCCTCAAAGTTATGCATTTGCTGCCTGGGCTTATGGCTTGTCAGCAATAGCGTCTTCGCTTTAAGTGCGACTAAAAAACTGCGGTTTGTACGCAGTGATATACTTCACTGCGAACTAGAGGTTGCGCTGCTGATCACAGTCTGGAAGGTAAAGCCGTCGCCCTTTACGTACGGATAGGTGGATACGATAATCCTTTAGCGGAAGAACTCACCGAGTCATTAGACAGCTTAATTATCGCTTTCTGGTTACGCATATTAGTGTCATAATTAAATGCTAACATAAGAGTTTAGATTAAATAAGGGCCCATGTAAAGTTTTAAGATAAGAACTTCACTTGTGCTCTTAGGCTATTAATCCTGTTAGAAAAACCAAATGTCTTGAAAGCTGAGTTCAAACTTTTTTAAGAAACTAATGGCCTGCTTAACACTTATGAAGTGAAAAGGTTTATTTTGATAAAAAAAAAACTGGCAAAATTTAAAGGTGGTTGCTTTTATAGGGACGCATACTTGTAATAAGTATAGAAAGAGGTTTGGAAAAGGGTTAGTGAGTATAGCCAAAATTAAACTTACATTTAAACGTGGCATTTATTTCATAATATATAAATTTAGTAAAATACATTTTATTTAGCTTACATGTCAATTAAAAATTACTTTACGATCCATAGTAACTAATGAAAGTATAAAGTGCCACGCCAAGCCTTTATTGAAGAAACTTAAAAGTTTGTTGCGAGATCATAGTAGTAATTGATAACTGCCTCTCCGCGCATTTGTTTTATAAATATTTACAAGGTAGTATTATTATGTTAAAAAGACCTTTTCACATTAAAGTTTATGTTAAACCAGTTATTCTTTCCAAGCCAGCTCTTAGTTGCGCTAAGTAATAAGCTACGTTGGGTGAAACTCAGTAGGCAATATTAAGCAGACCAAAAGTGCCAGTTAGAATCCTAAAAACTCGGGTGGAAGACAATGTGTAGAACGCGCTCGTAGTGTATCAAAAAAAAAGGAGAGGGGAGGCAGAATAATGCTATGACAGCTTGTAAAAAAACCATGCTGAAAACCAAAGCCTTTTTAGAAGGGCTCCTCAAGCTCTAGCAGAGGAACGTATTACTCGAGTTAATAACATAAATCCTATCCGTTGGGGAAAAAAAAAGTCCCTTATTTAGTGCCCCAACCTATAATAGCAAGAGGAAAATCTTTTTCAGAATTTAATAATTCTAAGATGAGTTTCAAACGAAATTAAAATGTAAATAATGAAATAGTACAAATCTTTCTCCTAAAGGTAAAAAAAAAATTAGTCGTTTTTATTGAGATGCTGCAGTAATTCTGATTCCTCCTCTGGAATTTCAGTTCTAATAAGATCCTTCTCCATAATGCTTAACTCACCAACGTGGGGATCCCTATGGCTTTTACCAACGAAATCCCAAAGAGTAAAAAATTGACCTTAAAGATTCGTATTTAAACAATTTTTTATAATAGTTATTAGTGCGGCGCACTTAAGGTTAAGGATAAAATAAAGAAACCGTAATTATAATTAAAATGTAGATGATGATCAGTATGATGGGCGGAACCGTTTAAAATATTCTATATATATTAAAATTAAAAAAAGCGGAATAAAAAATTTGGTAACCTTACCTGAAAACAATTTGGAACTAAATCTAAACCGTCATGAATAGACACGGACCAAATGTTCACGAAAACAAACAAAACAAGATAGGTCCACTATTACATAAAAAGATTGGTATGACTAAATAAAAAGTTTATTACAAAAGAAAAGTTATAAAATTAATCTTAAATAAAACAAATATAAATGAATGGTACGAGAGGTGTAAAACACAAGACCTTGTGCAAGGGAAGCATGAAAATAAACATATGGTAGGGTGAGCTTTGCGAGAATCCATCGAGCCAGTGAAATGCGTGCGAAGCGAAGGGCGTAGGGACTAACCACTTTTAAAGCTACAATAATAAATGATAACAAGAAAGGGTAGAACTGGTAATGAAAACCTTGTGATGAGGCTTATGAAAACGAGAATAAAAAATAGGATGATGAAGCCAGCGATGGATCCAGTAGATGGCCATGTCCGACCACAAGATAAACAAAAAAATGCTCAAAATCCAGTAGAGATAACCGTACTCTGATATGTTATCATAAAGTTTTCCATAACCGCGTACCTTGCAGACAGTGGTAATGAGGAAAATATATTATGGGGCCTCATTATTAGTACTTGCAACCAGAAGATTAACGCCGTTGGAATGGCCATTTTCGGAATATTAATTAGCGAAGTAACGATTTCAAGGAATCTCTGACTTTTAATAAATCTTTTGTGCTTCATTAAACTTTTATCAAATATCAAATGATAGCTCAGAGTGGCGAGAATTAAGTACAGGATAGCACCTAAAACAAAAAAAAAATATATCGTAAACTACAAAGGTCAAGCAAAAACATAACTGTTAAAGATAAACATTAAATTCTATAAAACAAAAATTTATAAACTAAAAATCCATAACCTCCAATTGTCACTATAAAGTAAAGAGAAAGTAACTGACGAAGACCATCTCCGCGTTCTAAAAGGCCGAAATAAAGTTTATCAAAGAAAGCATCATCAAATACGTTTAACACTATGTCCATTATAATTCTAAAGACTGCCAGCAGCTCTGACCGAGAGAATAAACTGATATATTAATAAACACAGTTTTGTTAACTCGTTAAAAACAGCTAACCAAATGTTGTGTCCACGGATGCAATGCCTCGGGTTTTCAAAAGTATAGGTCACAACTTTTTTAGCTGGGACAATGCATATTTTCCATTTGCATGGCTTGGCCAGTTAACACCCACTCCACCCATGTTTAGTAGTTTTTTAACAAGCCTTTAAACCGTATTAAGTATACATATGCGTTGACACGCGTAACGCTTTTGGCAATCTGTATTAGATTAACAGTCATTAATTACCAATTAACAACTTCTGACCTTTAACAGTAGCTATCATACGTGTTCTACCCTATACCTAGACCGGTACGTTATTAATATACTCGTATAATCCTTTACTTCGTACATTTACTTTACAAAAAAAATAGAGAGCAACTCAATACTTTTAAATAACTAAATAGCTTATTCAATTTTCGAATAAAGCCCTTTTACTTTCTAATCAATGTAAAGTAGTTCAACTGGGGCTTTTATATCATTTGATGGTAGTCATTTTTATAAGCTTCTAAAGAATCTTATAAATTATAAGGAAAACTATTTCTTTTCCTAGGGCATATAATTAAAATCTTTCATTTTTATTTACTTTTTGTACCTGCGGTCCTTACGTTTACATAATCGGCCTTAAAGCGAAGAATTTGCCATTTTAAAAATTAAAAAGTAATTAAATTACTCTACTTTGTAGAGCGCCTACAATTATTTAATAGTAGGTCCTAATGCTCGACCGGGTCGTAAAAGACCGAACTTACGAGTACTCAAAAGGGTAATAGCATACACGTTAGCTTTAAGATTGTGTCAAAAAACAATCTCATGTATATATATAAAGTTTAGCCCCCCAACCCATGTATAATATATAAAGCCCATTGCGCGGAAAAAACTTGATTTTGGAATGGTTTTTTTAAACCATATCTTATTTTTGTAAGAATGAGGGGAGGGCCGCCTTCATATAATATATACTACTAGATAACGCTATTGTGAAGATAGATTTGGACAATTTAATGCAAACGCATTTTCTTAAATATGAACATTTTTGTGTTAATTCATGATGGAAGGCATTCTAACAATGCTGGAAATCATATTATATATATATAAAGCAAATACTTATTTCGAATAAAATATCCTTTTCTTTTGTTATATTTTTTGCTATCTTAATTTTCGTCTTGTTGGTGTTTGGGCGTACATTTTTTATTCTTTTATATATCCGACTCTTTAGTTTTTAACAGGTTAACAGCCAATCTCTATTTACAATTATGTTCTTTCAGAGCACCACTCCAGCATTTGCAGTAAGTAAATTGAAATCTGTTGAGAACTAGGCAAATTGGAGTATTTACTTTGGGTCCTACCTGATCAGTATAAATGGTATTGAAGCAATTACTAGTACCAAACTTTGCAACAGAGGAAAACTCGAATTGGCATGGCACGCTATTATCACTAGCATTGATCCAAGTTAAATGAATATCGTTCGGGAGGTTTGCGGTTGGGACAAGTTGGATAGCCTTACGAAGCCATTTCAATTATGGCATGCTTTATACAACTAGTTTAATTTTGTCATGGAGGTCATGTATTGGATAGGAAGAGGAGTTTGCAAACATAAAGAAATTGGTGATGAAGATATCAGATCATTAATGGACGAATTAATGTCTCAAGCCCCAGGATGGAAAATCAAAACAACAGTGCAAGGATTAGCGAAAGAATGAAGCTTACTACCGATTTCTGGGAGTCCTATCAAATGATAGTAATGGGCCTCCTTTAAGTTGACTGTACTATTAAAGTGAAATTGTTCTGGATCTAAATTAAGCTTAGAGGTAGTCACCCTCTGCAACTTCGTGGGAGAACTCAGCTCAACAGATATATATTGCACATGAAGATGTAGCCTTGAGCGTTAGCTTGTCAAAGCTGTTATTAAAGAAAAAGGACGAAGGTGTCACGAGTGATAATACTATAAGGCAAACCTTGTAAAAAAAATCAAATATTTTAAGTTTGGGAAAGCTGGGCATTTTGTAAGACAGTGCAGAAACTGAGAAACAAAATAGAGGGCTCTCAAGCGAGAGCTTTCAAGTTCATAAGGACTCAAGTAAGATTAACTTGGATTCGGGTGCTAGCTGCCGCATACTTAACGACATAAGACTTATGAAGGCCTTTGACCCGCCAATGAAAGAGTCATGAGCATAAAGGTTTATTTAATGCCTTAGTTCTCGGAGAATTTTATAGTTAGAAGACTAACTGTATGATAAGAATAAAATAGTAATTTTTAACTCAAAAGAAGGGAAAGTGTATGATAAAGACAGCATGAACCATCTTTTATGTGTAGCATCTCCGGTGTAGACTCCCACCAAAATTTAAAAGGTTGTCACTACCTGGACGAGGTTAGAGTAATACGCTCAATACACCAATGGCATGACATCTTAGGTTCATTAAAGAAGACAAAGAGAATTTCTATAGATATGGCATCAATATAAAAATGGAGAAGCACTCCTCTGTCTCGTGTGCAGAGATGAACCTGCATCGTATGTCCGTGTGAAGAATATAATCTCTTGATTATAGGCAGGCTCCCAGCCGGACCTCATTTGATTACCGATATATTTGGTAGCCCATGCTCGAAGTCACTAGCCGGAGTAGTGTACAGCCTCACGTAGTATGTAAATGTACAAAATTTATCTGATTATACCGATTGATCAAAATCTTCTGTAGCCCTGGCGTTTGGTAAATTTTTAGTTAAAAACTTGGATACAACTTCATAATTGAGAATGTACATTTAGAAAACGGAGCCAAGTTATTATTAATAAGGTTGTTCGAGATATATGTATTCAAAGAAGAATAAGACAATCATCTACATCTCCAGAAACACCTTTGCATGATCCAATTGTAGAACGGTGCAATGGAATTTTAAAAGAAATGGCTTAGGCCACGAATTACAGAGCTATATTATCATACTCTTTTTGGGCTGAAGCTCTTAACCACGCTGCGTTTGTTACAAACATACTTGGAAGTTGGGAGAAATTTCATAAAACCATAACAAAGATAGACTTTCATTAATGTTTGGCGCACCTCTGTCTTACTGGCATGAGAGCTATGGAAAAAGACAGCCAACTTTAGAAGGGGGCTACTATTGTGTCTTGTTATAAATACGTGTGGGGTTGCGCACGTATATATGAGTATTTGACCAAAAGAGTTATAAAGAGCAGAAGCTTAAAAATAATTGATCACAGTTCTGCAGTTATTCTCACTGCTTTTGATAAACCTTAAAATTCTTGCCAACTTGACCAAGTGCTTCCCACATTATAACGAGTAAAACCGGATACTTCAGTTAATAGAATGAAATCGACTTCACTCAAGAGGAGGAGTGGAACTTCGCTGGCCAAAATGAAAGCCAGAAAGAAGGTACAAGCAGGTTTCGAATCGGATCCAGAGGCGATGTACATGGTTTTCCTATAAAGAGGTGAAACCAAGTGGTTCTTTGGGGCGATGCAGGATAATCAAGTTTTGGATGGGAAAGCCATATACACTACGTTTGACGACGGGGGTATTGAAGATATACCAGAAACTGAGGAAATACAAGAGACGGACAAGGGCAAAGTCGCTATTGGCCAGGGTCCAAGAACACCTCGGGGGGGTATAACCTCCGAGGGATGGAAGAATTCGCCGTTAACGGAACTCAAAGCTCTCGAGGAGTCTGATACCTGAGAAGTTACTGAAGTGCCTGACGGAATTCCTATTAAATCGACCATATGGAAGTTTTCAATAAAACCGGAAAGAAGGCTAAAATCCAGGTTTGCGTGCAAATTAAGGGCATGGATTACATTGAAACAACTCCCCTCCTTAATCTTCCAGGGAGTTGTGAGACGTCGAAGCATGCGCAAATTAGATGAACTATCAACGATTACAATTAGGTGTGAAGTATGCATATGAGCATACCAACATGGTTAACACCATATACCTAAAATTTCCAGTAGGTTCCACACATTGATTCACCTTGGTGGATGGTAATAAATGTCTTGAACTATCAAAGGCATTAAATGATACAAAAACAAGCCGGGTTATTATGGTTTAAGCACACAGCGCACAAGCTCATTGGACTCAGTTTCAAAGAGATGAAAAACTAGCCTTGCCTGTTTATATATCGCCGAAAAAGCTCAGTTGTGATAACCATTATCTACGTAGATGACTCCTAAGTCTATACTATCGAGGAGAGCCGGGTCCTTGACCTAATGAAAAGATTTTTGATATCCGCGATGTCTCCAAAATCGTTACTCCTAGGACTAAATTAGTATTTCGATGACCGTTTATTATTGACCTAAGAAAAGTTTATCAATTAGCTCTTATTTAACTAGGATTTAAATGAGTAAAAAGCCTGTGAATACCCTATGCACAACGTTACTTGGGAAAGCTAGAGTCAATCTCAGAACGGTACCCGTACCAAGAGTTAATAAGACCAAACCAAACTGAGTTTCCTTCTATAGCAACATTTAGTATCAGTAATTGCTTCAATACCATTTATACTGATCAGGTAGGATCCAAAGTAAATACTCCAGTTTGCCTAGTTCTCAACAGATTTCAATTTACTTACTGCAAATGCTGGAGTGGTGCTCTGAAAGAACATGATTGTAAATAGAGCTTGGCTGTTAACCTGTTAAAAACTAATGAGTCAAATATATAAAAGAATAAAAAATGTACGCCCGAACACCAACAAGATGAAAATTAAGATAGCAAAAAATATAACAAAAGAAAAGAATATTTTATTCGAAATAAGTATTTGCTTTATATATATATATATATAATATGATTTCCAGCCTTGTTAGAATGCCTTCCATCATGAATTAACTCAAAAACGTTCATATTTAAGAACATGCGTTTGCGTTAAATCGCCCAAATCTATTGTCATACAACTACATTATTATGTAACCAAAGACGGATCGCCTCGTAATATGGTTAAAAGAAATTTTTATGGCCTGGAGAGACTTATAGAAAGAACTCTTAGGAAATCCATGTTTTCTATTGGAATACTGGTATAAAGCGATTCTATATCTAGTGAACAGATAATATCACTACTTTCTAATGATATAATATTATTTGTTTTTAAGATTTCTCG